GATTAACTTGCAGCAGCTGAGAACTGCCATTTAAAGTGGCTGGCAGCTTGCAATTTAGAGATCTCTCCTGGTAACAACTCTCTATTGGCTAAATGGCTTTTCTTTCTGCACTGAGAATTCAGTCCCACCAGGAAAAAAATTGCCCCACAAGCCACGAAATCCTGGCTACACCAGATATGCTCACCAATATAAGGTCTCCTCTGACTGGAAGCCACCAACAGAAAGCCTGAGTAGGCCCTTAGATGATGCTTTTTATAGAGAAGGTGACAGTGAAGAACATAAATAACTCTTTCTAACTTTAACACTGGGCTTGTCCTCTAAATTAAACAGTTGGTCTCTAAAGGGATTTTGCAAATGAGTAACAGGTGGGCTAGAATACATCTTCCTGATGACTCCCGTTAAATTTTCAAGGCAAGGTTATAAAGGCTAAGAACAACACTTGTTTGCAATTAAAGAGCAATAAATCTGCCATTTCTTCAGCTACACTAATGAAGTATCAGGGTGAGAGGCGTTCCTGTATTCTCCTGACCAGCCAGTGAACCTTACAGAGGTTGCGAGACTACATAATAATACATAGATTAACATGCCATACCTATGATTAAAATCTTGAATATGCAGCATAGTAATATGTCCGGAGCACAGTTCATGTTAAGCAGAAAACTGATTCTGGGTGGAGTCCTCTGTAGTCTCTGTGGAAGAAGACTAGCACGGCCAAGCCGATTTGGATCGCTGTTGCTTTCAGTTCCCCAAGTATGTATTTGAGGAGAAAGGGATTTTTAATGGAAGCAAAGAGCAGAAGCAAATGTATGTGGTTAAATGTATGAACCGTGTTAGTATGTTGCATCAGAAGTACAAGGACTCTTGAAGACCCCCTTCGAGAGACACACATACCACTTTGTTTAATAAGGGTACACTGTAGAGTTGCCAGCTTCACGTTGAGAAATACCTGGGGTAGATGATCGCTATGTGATTGTTTTCCTCACTACGGCGGCCAGAATCTTATTTGCAAAATATTGGAAATCACCAGAGATACCAACTAAGCGAGAACTTATAAACAAAGTACTAGAGGCTGCAGAACTGGACAGACTGACTCTATTGATAAAAGGTGCAATGGACTCTATATTTCAGAATACTTGGGTACGGTTCTATAGCTGGTATGATAAGTATATGTAGGCAAGTTAAGAATTGACAGAAATGCAATATATACTTAGATCGACAAAGATAGAGATAGATGGTTACTTACACAGGTTACAAGAATGTTAGATTAAGGCATTAATATAAATATCTGTTAAAAAATGTAAACAACCCCAGTATATGTATGTGTGTAATGTGTGTATATGTCAATATGTTAGTGTGTGTACTTTATGTGCGTATGTGTTATATATTTGAAAAGCCTTCATAACATTCTGCCTCTTTGAGGCAGTTGAAAAAGAGCGAGAGAGAGAAAGAGAAATACCTGGGGGGTGGAGCCTGAGGAGGGTGGAGTTTGGGGAGGGGAGGGGAGGGGCCTTAGTGGGGTCTAACGCCATAGGCCCATCTTCCAAAGCGGCCATTTTCTCCAGGTGAACTGATCTCTGTTGCGTGGAGATCAGTTGTAATCCCAGGAGATCTCCAGCTACCACCTGGGGGTTGGCAACCCTAGTACACTGCTTTGTAAAATGAGAAAGCGTTGTTTTGGATTTCCATCCCAACTCTGAAGCCTGAAATTGCTAAAATAAATTAACAATTACTACATGTTCCCCTCCTCCTCCTTGTTAACAGTGATGATAATGGTGTTATTTATAATCTTCCTTTCTCGTTTAATGGCATTTTCAAACTCCAAACTCGATCGTTAAAATCAATAGTATTACCAGATAGCCATAGTTTCAGTAAGCCCTTTGGTCAGTTGCCGTGTAGCGTAACGGTTGTATTGAAGGACTAGACGACCTGGCCGATCTTTCAGGTTCGAAGGAGGCAACCCTCACTTATTTTATTTATTTATTTTCTTTAATTTATATCCCACCCTCCCCAGAAGTGGGCTCAGGGTGGGTTACAAGGTCACATAAAAGTTGTGACAGTTAGACTATCGAATTCAAACGGCATATACAAACTCAGAGGTTAAAATTTAAAAATTTATACCAAAAGACCAAAGAACCAGAGTGAAAGAAGCTTTGGTAGTGACACTCAGATGGAGCCTTGAAGGCGGCGTTGTCGGACATCAGGCCACTGACCATAAGACCGGGGCTGTCTGCAGGGGAGGCCAAGAGACGAAAAAATTGGGACACCCACTGCCTCAGCTGAAAGCCCCGCGGAATTGTAATAGATCCTGCAGGGCCCTGATCTCAATTCGGAGCTTGTTCCAAAAGGCCGGGGCCAGGGCAGAAAAGGCCATGGCCCTCGCTGAAGGCAGCCGTATGTTGTTCGGGCCAGGGACAACCAGCAGATGTTGATCGATTGAGCGTAAAGCCCTGCGAGGCAGATATGGGGGGGAGACGGTCCCTGAGATCTACAGGCCCCTGGCCGCATAGGGCCTTAAAAGCCAGCACTAGAACCTTGGAACTGGATCCGGCAGTTGGCACCCCAAGTGGCAGGACTGGGGAGGGAAGAGAAGGGACTCGCTGTTGCTGCTGGCCCTTGAGCAAAACCCAGGAAGCAGTATTAGCAGGCCCTAGCTGGGGTCACTAGAAGTCGGTTGTGACTTGGCAGCACATGCATGCATAAGCTGGCTGAGAGGGGAAGATTCCCTCAGAAATCCATAAGCCGAAATTCTGTTCTGTATAGCGTTTAAAGAAGAACACTTAGATACATATCTGAAGTGTGAGGATGCAGACATCATAAATCACATCCCCCCCCTGTTGGGTGTTACAAGTTAAAACACTTTCAGTATTTACTGGGTTAATGATGTTTGTTAAGTCACATGTTTGTTTGTAACCAATCTATTTAGATTATAGGAAGCCCGGGAACTTTGGAGCTAGTTTGCTACTCTGATTGGAAACAAAGTGTCAAGTATTACCATTTTATGGCTTCTCTTCCGTCTTTGTGTTTTTTTGTTCTGACTAGAGAAGGAGACGCCATTCTTCCACTTTTACCTTCTAGCTGTAAGGATGTAGACCATTTAGCTCTTTGTTATTTTATATCCTGTGTACCTTTTTCCCATGCTAGGTTATAGTAAACTTTTATATTCTTTTTAAACACACCATGGAGTCAGTCTCTTTAATACTCTGCTGATTTACTTTAAACAAGAATCCCAACACACACCCCTTCTTTGTGTTCCACGCATCCATGCGTATCGGGTGTCCTTTTGCTACATAGGGCATTTGTATGAACAGGGTAGACCAGAGCGCTTCCAGTGGCTCAGGCAGAAGGTCAGAAGGTCTTCCCTCTGGACTTGAATGACTTGTGTTGGTCGGAAGATCCTTTGAGCCATTTGCCGTTCCCTGGTCTGTCGTTTGGCACAAGGCGCCGTCTAATGGGAGCTCTTCAGTAGCCTTTTGAGGTGGGCCCTTTTGTCCCGGCTGTATTCAGCACAGCATTAACCAAGATCAAAGCCCTACTCCTGCGGTCCATCCTCTCCAGGCTGAGAGCCCTCCAGGGACAATGAAGCACTCTTTAATTGAAGCTTCCTAGCCCCTTATCCTCCTCCTGCTCTTTCACACACACACACACACACACACACACAGTTAAAACAACTCTCTAGGGTTTGTGAATGGTATTCGCAGAGGTCACAGGGTAAGGCTTTTTGTAGGGTCTCAGCCACGTTTCTGAGGGGCCATTAACACCACATCGAGAGCCCTACAGTGACTTGCTGAAAGGGAAGACGCGTTGGGTTGATGGTTCCGCTCTACACCCAGGCTGAGAAATGGAAAGGAAGTTGGCCAAAACTTGTGAAGTATTCGGTAGAGACATCTAACAGTGCTTGGAAGTACTGAGCACAACGAAAGAGATGAAGCGTAGCCGTGTAACTCTGTGCAGAGTTATACCTTCCTGCGTTTTTTGAAGTCAAAGGGGATTGAAGGGTATAACTCTGCTTGGGGTTGCTGAGCTGGACTCCTACTGCCCAATTCTCCTGGTCAGGTTCTTCTCTCTCTGATGTCATCACCATCATCATCACTGATTGAATTTCTGAGTTGCCCTGTGTACTTAGGGACTGGGTGATTTAGAACAGGTTAAAACATTTTTAAAAATTCAGATCAACATCAGCAGATCAATCATTGCTAATCTGATCATCTCCAGATGGCATCCATAATTTAATCTAAAACCTGCTCTGGACTGTCCTTCCATCTTGTGGGCGAGTTGAGGAGGAGGCCGAAGCGGGCATAAGAACATAAGAGACGCCAATGTTGGATCAGGCCAAAGGCCCATCCAGTCCAACACTCTGTCACACAGTGGCCAAAAATCCCAGGTGCCATCAGGAGGTCCACCAGTGGGGCCAGGACATTAGAAGCCCTCCCACTGTTGGCCCCCCCCAAGCACCAAGAAGACAGAGCATCCCTTGCCCCAGAGCCCCTATCTATACCTTGTGGCTAAGAGCCACTGATGGACCTCTGCTCCATATGCCTATCTAATTCCCTTTTGAAGCCGTCCATGCTTGTAGCCGCCACCACCTCCTGTAGCAGTGAATTCCATGTGTTAATCACTCTTTGGGTGAAGAATGGAAGAAGAGAGGAGGGTGCCGAACATGATGGAGAACCGTTGCTGTCCTCAAACAAAAGCTTGGTGGAACATCTCTGCCTTACAGGCCCTGTGGAATTGCATGACGTCCCGCAGGGCCCTGATGGAAGTTGGCAGAGAGTTCCACCAGGTCGGGGCCAGACCCAAGAAGGCCCTGGCTCTGGCCGAGGACAGCCAGGGATCACCAGAAGATTGCTCTCAGCAGAGTGTTAACACTCTCCTGGAGACATACCTGAGGAGAGGGTCCCGGAGATGTGCAGGTCCCAGACCGCTCACGTTACAGATGTGAAGGTCCACCTTAAGGGTACGGGGGAGTTCCACGCATCCAGCTTGTTCCCAGTTTGCTAGCTATGACGGTCTTCGATCAAGGAAAGCAGAAGCGTGGAGATGAGAGCGGAAACAGTTCTGATCCACAACGGGTGAAACCCTGCGGAACCCCACAGGTCAGCAGCCGTGGGGCAGAGCAGGAATCCCCCAGTGCCACCCTCTGAGTTGTGCTGGGAACCCTTGCCCCAGGTGAGCTGCTGAGTCAGACCGTGACGAGTGCCCTTTGTTTTCAGATGTGCGTAACTAGCGGGAAAGCCTGTGTGCCAGAGAAGAAGCGTCCAGATGACCGTGCGAGGCACAGCGCCACCACTGACTCCGATCTGTCCGAGCTGGAAGACAGGGTGGCTTCTGCCCTGGCTGAAGTGCAGCACACGGAGAGTGAGGTAAACCCATAACAAAGGCCTCAACAAAAGAAAGTTTAAATGAGTGATCCTGCGTGGGTGCAGGAAGAGAGGACAGGCTATTCCCCCTCCCCCCATAAGTAAATATGCATGCAGAGCTTTAACATAATTCTTTTGCCCCTTGTGTGTATGAGAGAGAGAGAAACTCCCAAGCAAACAAATGTCCCAAATGCCTGTATTTCCTCACCACTGTTTGGTGTAGGGGTTATGAGCGGCGGACTCTAATCTGGAGAACCAGGTTGGATTCCCCGCTCCTCCACATGCAGCCAGCTGGGTGACCTTGGGTCAGTCACAAGTTCTCTCAGAGCTGTTCTCTCTAGAGCAGTTCTCAGTCAGAGCTCTGAACAAACTGTGGCTAGCTCAAAGTCTTTCTAAAGCAGGGAGTCTTCGCTATTGGACTCACAGACAAGGGGTGAAGGGAACCCATGATGAACCGGGATTCTTCTCATCCCAAGCAAGCCCACATCTGATTTTTGACCTGTGAATGTCCCTCAGTCTGTGGCAACTGAGCGGAATCCATCTTCAGTTTGGTGTAGTGGTTCAGTGCGCGGAGTCTAATCTGGGAGAACCGGGTTTGATTCCCCACTCCTCCACTTGCACCTGGCTGGGTGGCCTTGGGAAAGCCGTAACTCTAATAAGAGCTGTTCTTGAAAAAGAGCAGTTTCTATCAAGAGCTCTCTCAGCCCCACCCACCTCACAGGGTGTCTGTTGTGGGGAGGGGAAGGGAAAGGAGTTTGTAAGCCACTCCGAGACACCTTTGGGTAGTGAAGGGCGGGGTATAAATTCAATCTCTTCCTCTCTTCTTCTTCTTCTTCTTTCTTTATCCTCCCTTTCCTTCCTTTTTCACCTCCCTTGTGTTGCCCCACATGCTGCGTTAGACAGCACAAGGCTGACTAGTGTTTGCAGAGGAGCAGCTAAAGAAAATCACTGGATGGACTTGGCTGCTCAGGACAGATGGGTCAGTCTAAATGACACCCTTCGATAGCCAGTGGAAATTCAGCAATGCCTAGAATTTAGGAAGCAGAAGGACCGCCTTCATACCAGTGTTGTGCAGTGTTCCCTCTAAGCTGAGTTAGTGTGAGCTTGCGCAGTTTTTTAGCCTCCAGCTCACACATTTTTGTCTTAAGTCAGGAAGGATGGCTCCAGAGCAAACTAATTTATGCAGTAGCCAAGTTGCTTGCTCACAACTTTCATGCCACTAGCTCACAAAGTAGAATTTTTGCTCCCAAGACTCCACAGCTTAGAGGGAGCATTGGTGTCGTGCAGTAGTTAAAGTGTGAGACGATCTGGGAAGCCCAGGTTCGAATTCCCTCTCTGCCATGGGAGCTTGTTGGGAGACCTTGGGCCAGTCACACGGCCTCAGCCTACCTCACAGGGTTGTTGTGAGGATAAAGAAATTGAGGATAGGAGAATGATGTAAGCCACTTTAGGTCCCCATTGGGAAGAAAGGCTCGGTGCCCTTCTGACAGCAATGCTGATTCTGTGAATTTAGGCAGATCGTGAGAGGGAGGGCAGGGAGGGTTGCTTCAGTGCTTAGTTCTCGTGGCCCTTTCTTACAGGCCCAGGGAAATGCCAATCGCCATTTTGGGGTCAGGAAGCAATTTTCTCCAGGCCAGGTTAGTCAGGGATCCTGGAGGTTTTTCTGTTTGTTTTGGGGTTTTTGCCATCTTCTGGGCACGGAACAGTGGTCACTGGGGGTGGTGGGAGGAGGTAGCTTTGAATAATTTGCATTGTGCATGGGGTTGGACTAGATGACCCTCGTGGTCCCTTCCAGCTCTATGATTCTAAGGCAGGATATAAATTAAGTCAATAATAAATAGTAATGATACTGGCCTTGATTATTGGAAATTATGCCTGCTGTTTATTTTTAAGGTTTCTGATATAGAATCCCGAATAGCAGCTCTGAGTGCCGCCGGACTGACTGTCAAACCAGCGGAAAAGCCCAAGAAGAAATCGAGCACCCAGGTGAGTTATGAAGACTGACACGGTGAATTTGTGTTCTCCTGACAGCAATAAATAAAATTCAGCAGCAACTGGAGCTAGATTCCCTGACAGCACAGTGTTGTACTGTGCAGTAAACTTTTAATCGTTGAGATATTAATACTAATGGGTCTTTGCATTCAGCACAGATCTAGCTGGATTTTTAATGGCTGGGTTTCTAGTAGTTTGGTCATTTTAATCATGCTGTTTTAGGATGGTTATCATGTTTTACTTTGTGAGGTGCTTGGAGAGGCAGCCCAGACGATTCTAAAAGAGTAAATAATAACGTATTTTAGTGTTAAGCAATGATCAGTAAAGGTTCATGGGTGGAAATCACTAGATGAAAAGGGAAGCATTGAATTTTGCATGAGTGCATAATCACAAAATAGTGCAGACTGTTCGAGCCGTCTCTCTCACTCCTGTGCTACACTCTGTAGATGCAGATGCACAACTGCAAAGGAAACCTTCCAGTAAGAAAAGGACCAGCGCTTTAATCTTTTTAGTTTGGTGTTCCCCATTTTAACAGCAGCACCTTCCGCCTCTGCGGAGAGATGCAGCTAAAGAACTAAGGTTGTGGGTCACAGGGTCATTTTGATCGGGTTTCACCGCTGTTCCCTCCCTCATTTAAAATTGCTGATCAGACGACCGCATCCGTCTCCCACACTGAAGTGGGCTCACTCGCGCGATCCTCCCAGTTCCCTAGCGAGTTTTCCTACACCCGGGAAATCGAGTACTTTCCGGATATTTGCACTTTGAATCCGCAATTTCACCGATCTGGACAGCCATCTCTCGCAGTGATTGCAGTTAGGTCATCTGAATGTCCTCGCGGTGTTTCCCCCCCAAGCGTCCGTTGTTGTGCGCATGAGCAGTCCTGTGCTGAATAAATTCAACGTATAAATGTTCAAGCGCACATATAGACTCGAGCACTCAGCTGTACGTCGCCGGTTAATTTTGTTCGCTGTTGGGGGGGAGGAACCTGCAAGAACAAGGGAGTACAGTGAGTCCCAGTGGGAGCGGTGATTCGGCCATGCGTATATGCCAATTAAAAAAAAAAAAAAGCTGTCCTGTCTTGCGCTGGCTTCAGCTTCCCAACGCCTTTTAGGTATGAGTCAACGCACAACCCCTGACGAAGGCTTAAATCATCTTTATTTAACTCCACATTTATTCAGAAGATCATTTACTCACAATCAGGTTGATAGCTGGGTAGAGTAGTTACATCTTTGTGATCTAAGTCAATTCCACGGCCGTGGTGAGAAAGAGATGAGATTCCCCTTCTCCTTCGCGGTAAGGATAGACAAAAGAAGCAGGAAAAGAGCAACAAAACTCCTATCTTTGGCCTCTGAGCTCAGGAAATTACCCTAATGAGCCAGTCAGAGGGAAGCTGCTGGGACCCCTAACTGAGGACTACAATCCCCAGGTGCAACTAGTCTTAAAGCTACACAACAGTTTTACCAAACTACTACTACTGCCTACAGCTAACGCTTACTGGAGGCAGCACAAAAGCCGTGCTGCCCAAGTGGCGGTCTGGCTATCTAGACGGTGCCCAGAGCCTCACCGCGCAATGCCAGCGGTTTAGGGAGGGATGTGTGGTCATCCCGACCCGGAGAAAAATTCTCAATCAAATCTATAGTGGGAACAAATCGGGATAAGCTTGCTGTGTGACCACAACCTAAGTGAAGGTTTAGGGGCCCAAGTAAGGGAGTCTCTTAGCTGTACAAAACATCGGGAAATTGGACTCAGGTGGGCAGGGCAGATGAACTTCGATCAGCCATCATTTCTTGTGATTTTGCTCTGCGAGGACCTGGAGCACGACTGTCCATTTCTTGTACTTCCCAGGTTTTCACTCTCCATCTCCCCAGAGGTGCACAGAACTCTCTGGAGGATCACAGTTCTGACTCTGCAGCATCACCTGACAACTACAAAGTGAGTGCATTACTGAGAAATCCACAGGACAGTCATGCCAAGAGCAGAGTCCTAGAGAAGTCTATGCTGGCTTCAGGAAAATGTACATCTCTTTCGTTTCCTTTGTTCCTAGTTGAGACACAGCCCTAGTCTGCCACCTGTTTTTAAAATATCCTCGTAAAACTTGTAAAAGCAGAAGCAACAGTTACATTGTGAATATCCTGGTTTATTCTATTTCACTTCATTTATACCTCTCTTTTCTCCTCAATGGGGCCCAAAGTGGCTTACGGCATACCCCCTTTCTCCAGTTTATTCTCACAACAACCCTGTGAGGTAGGTTACACTGGGAGTGTGTGACTAGCCCAGGGTCACCCAGCCAGCTTCCATGACAGAGTGAAGATTCATATCTGAGTCTCCCGGATCCTAGTCTGATGCTCTTAACTACTATACCATAGTATAGTATTTTAAAAAAAGAAAAACCCTGTAAGATACCCTGTGACAGTTTGAGGTCACAAGAGTAGATTCTAACCCCCACCCCACCCCCAGCCCAGTGCCACTCTCCTCACAATGACAGCATGTATTGATTTTAGGATTGACGGAAGACTATCAGCCCACCCCACACTTTGGTGTTGCACGATCCTTAACATGAAAATCACGGCAAGCCGGTTCATAACCATTGCTCACTCTAAGCTGTGGAGTATTGTGAGCAAAAATTCTACTTTGTGAGCTACTGGCATTCAAGTTGTGAGTGAGTGATTTGGCTTCTGCATAAATGAGTTTGCTCTGGAGCCATCCTTCCTGAGCTAAGACAAAAATGCGTGAGCCGGAGACTAAAAAACTGTGAGCTACCTCACACTCACTCAGCTTAGAGGGAACACTGTTCATAACTCACAGAGAAGGCTTCAGTGATATCTCCTTTCTGGGAACAAGGAAATTACTTGTGGTCTAAGGGGAATGTTTCCCCCACTAACCCTCAGGTATCCTAGCTCAACGCTCAGTTGGATCTCCTGCAGTTATAACTTCTGTGACTCTAATTCATGAGAGAATTAATTAGAATTACAGAAGTTAAAAACTCTTAATTCATGTTGTCTTTGATTTCCCCACTGTTTTTGGTTGTTTGTTTGCTGTCTGACACTTGCCAAATGAGCAGACTCCATCTCTCGTTCTGTCTTTCCTGTCTCCCTCGTTCTCTCTCCTATCTTTCAGTTTCTTGCTCTCGCTCTTTTCCTCTGAAAAATTCTAATTCTCTTTCTGCCTCTCTTTGTCTTTATCTCTCTTCCTGAGGTAATTTAGCCATTTCAGTCTCTTCTAATTCTCCAGATTTCTAACTGTTCTGCCCCCGTAATTCCTTCAGCCTGTACTTCAGCAGCTTGGTCACCTTCAGTTGACTCAGCTCTTTGCTCATTTTAAGAGAAGCTATGACAAAAAACTGGCTGCGAGAGTTGGACTATAAGGAAGGCCGAGCGCCGAAGAATAGATTCTTTTGAACTATGGTGCTGGAGAAGACTTTTGAGAGTCCCTTGGACTGCAAAAAGATCAAATCAGTCAGTCCTAAAAGAAATCAACCCTAACTGTTCCCTGGAAGGCCAGATAATGAAACTGAAGCTCAAATACTTTGGCCACCAAATGAGAAGGGGGCACTCACTGGAGAAGACCCTGATGCTGGGAAAGATTGAAGGTCAAAGAAGACGGGGACGGCAAAGGATGAGATGGTTAGACAGTGTCATCGATGCAACGAACATGAAATTGAGCCAACTTCAGAGGACGGCGGAAGACAGGAGGGCCTGGCGGGAGATGATCCATGGGGTCGCGAAGAGTCGGACTTGACTGTGCGACTGAACAACAACAACATGACAAAAATTTCACCTCAGAATTCACTTTTAAACTGTGTAGGACTTTATTTGTAGTCAGCACAAGAGATTTTCCTGTCAGATTTGGTGACTTTCATTCTTAATATCCCACTGCTCTAGCACCACTTTGTTTGGGGCAGAACAGGCCATAAAATATTTGCGGCAGAAAAATCCTCCCACAGCCCAGTGCCACTGTCCTTCTCACAATGGTAGCATGAATTGCTTTTAGGATTGGCTGAGAAGTATCTGCCTACATTTCAACTGGCACAACGTCCAGCAAAAAGGCCAAAGCGATGCTTATTTCTTGGTGCTTGGCACTATTTACTGCTAAGCCACCCCAGATGAAGGTTGTTATGGATTTCCTGAGGTACCCTCTCCCCTTCCTTGGTAAAAAAACAACCTGGCTATAACGGGTTTTTTTTGCCTTTAATACCAATGAGGAGAACAGAGATTGAACACAACAAGAAAAAGGTGTATTTATAGTGTGTGTATGGGGGGGGGGGGGTTAACTGAGGAGATTCATGACCAATTTTATACCACTTTGAAATATGGAGAGTGAGCCAGGAAAGGTTTCTTAACCTTTTGCAGAGCCACTAGAGCCTTTTTAAACCGCAGACCTCAACCTGCCCCATAGCTTTCCTGTCACCCAGAAAGACTACATATACCACTATGTGCCACACTAAACAGCCCACTTCCCCCTGAAGTGACTGGAGACAGAGTCGGATCCCTGCCCTGCCTAAGAAACCTCTAAATCTTCTCTAACTTCAAGGGCTCCTTTTCCCTCTGTTCCTCCCCTTCCCTCCATGGACTCTGATGGTTCATTTTTGGCCTTCTGTCCAGACCACCAAAGTACAAAGGGGATTGGCAGGTACTGGAAAAGGGATGGACTTGGCTCTGTCTGCTACATACTTTAATAAAAATATAACCTCAAATAAGCAATTCTGCTTTTTAAAACACGGTGGAGGCGAGAAAAGAGAACGTACTGTCTTCTTTCACTGACTAAATGTACATGCAAGACTTTTTAAAAAAATTCAAAATTACAGCAAACAGCTATCCTGAAGTGTGTCAGGAGGGGAAAGTAAGACGACTGAATCAGCATTCAGTTTGGTGGCCAGAGTGTCTGTCAAATGCATTGTGACAGCTGAGTTTAAGTTGTGGGACAAAAAACACTGCATTAAATCCTGATTCACACATATGTTTGTATTCCCCTTGTGCCCTTTTAGGTGATGTCAATGCCACATGTCTTGAGGAGAAAATTTGCCTCTTCTCTTGAAATTGCAAGTAAGATCTGTGCTCATTTCTGTATGAAGTAAAGAGAAATGCTTACCGTGGTGGGCAAAGAGTTTATGCACCGTCGACAGGAAAGATCCCCCCCCTCCCTGAAGGGGAAGTTGGCTGGAAGTGTCCTGGTGGCCCTTCGTTAGGGTTGCCATCCCCCGATGGGGGCGGGGGTTTCCCTGCTTTTGGGACCCCAATCCTCCCACGCCCAGCTGGCTGGACGGGGGGGGGGGGGGCCCCCCCCCGGGGCGGCCCACCAGAATACTCCAGGAAGAAGACTGGAGCTCCCTGCTGGAATGCACTAAGGACCTGGCAACCCTACCCTTCATGGTTGCTGAGAGATAGCTAGAGCCGTGTTGCCTTCTGTGGGTGGCCTCCAAACTGGAAGCGCTGTTAGTATCCCACAAGATTGGCCCTGGTCCTAAAAAAGGAAGGTTGCAAGCATCTAAGGAACCAATCAGGATTTTTGTCCAAAACTCAGCCTTTCTGAAGATCATCCAGTGGTGTAAAATGACACCCAATGACCTCAAATCCTTCAGAAACATTTTAAAGTTCTCTGTCACAATGAGTTAAAACAAGACAGAGGAGCCAAGAATCGCGACGTTTAAAGTTTTCTGGCCCCTGTTCCAGCTCACTTTGGATGTATTCTCTCCATTCTTCCATTCTAAACAGAACTTATGCTAACTTGTAGGCAAAAGTTTTAAGGAAGCTGAGACTGAAATGTTGAGCTGTCTATCTGTGGTAGAACACGTCATCAAGATGGAATGGGCCAAAGCAATAATTCTCCCATTCCTTCAAATTAAAAACGAGATGATAAGGGGCCTATTTCTTGGTCTAGACTGTGCAATACCCCTTCTGTGTGCTGTTGAGAGAAAAGTCATGCAGTCCCCTCCCTGAAAGGTTAAAAAGATAAGCGAGAACTTCTCTCCTGTTATACAGACAGAGTGGAATACAGTTCAGTGACATCTGGAGAGGATCCTAATTGCGCACAGTTGGCGGAATAGAAGGCTATATCTGCTCGCCATTCTTCCATTTCGTGACGTACAAAGGGGCTCTGGGAAATGTGCAGATAGGGAAAATGGGAAATAGTCCACCGTGAATGGGAAGAGGCTGGAATGGCTGACCCTGTAAGCCTAACGGTGCTTTTATCTTTCATGACACTGCAGCAGGCCCGTAGCCAGAAAAAATCATTGGAGGGGGCCACCGGGGGGCACAACATCACAAAAATAATAAATTAAAGTTAAAATAAATAAAATATAAATAAAGCCGTGGCTGGACAGCCGCTGGTTGGCTGGATCATCGCAGGAGTGGAAACTCAGCCCAATTCCTCACCGCCAAGCCAAGCATTTCACCCAGGTAGGACTTTGGCATGCCAGGGTCTCTCCTGTGTCCACCCTGCCCTTCTTTTTTTTAAGCATCGCTCTGGAGCAGAGTTTGGAGGCTCTGCTTCTCCCTCCCTTGCGGCTCTTTGCTTCCTGACCTTGTCAATTTCAGGTGTTTGTGCCTGTCAGCCATTCACCACCCCCACCCCCTTGAGCCGAACTCTAACCTCTCTAAGGAACATAGAGACGGTCTCTTTCTTGCAGGGCGAGCTAGAACGAAAGAGGAGTGTCCGTTGGTCAGTTTCACTCCTCCCCACTATTGGGGGGGGGGCAAAATGGATGGGTTTAATGGCTGCCAGCCATTTAAACCTAACAGCTGACAGGCAGGCCCACGGGGTCGCAAGCCATTAAATTGGTCAGGTTCGCTCCCCTTGCTTCCAAGTAGAGGGAGTGAAATGGACTGGTTTAGCGCGGGAGTGGAGTCCAAGTGGCGAATTTGCTGCTTGGTTTCCACTCCTGCATGGCCCCCCACTGTCAAAACCCATTTAAAGGGAACATTCCCTTTAAATGGATTTTGACAGCGGGCGCCGCACAAGAACATAGTTCGGGCGACGAATTCACTCAGAAGTGGTGAATTCGCCGCTTGGACTGCCCTCCCACACAGTGCCCGCTTGCAGAACCCATTTCAAGGGAACATTCTCTTTAAATGGGTTTTGGAAGATCTCCCCCCCCCTCCATATTGTGCTAGCATGAGGGAACTGCTTCCAGCAGAAAGGAGGGGGAAAGGTCCATGAACCCATCCCGGTTATGGACTGGTTCAGCGCGAGAGTGGCGTCCAAGTGGCGAATTTTCTGCTTGGTTTCCACTCCTGCATGACCCCCCACTGTCAAAACCCATTTAAAGGGAACATTCCCTTTAAATGGATTTTGACAGCGGGTGCCACACAGGAACATAGTTCGGGCGGCGAATTCACTCAGAAGTGGTGAATTTGCCACTTGGACTCCACTCCCATACAGTGCCCGCTTGCAAAACCCATTTCAAGGGAACATACTCTTTAAATGGGTTTTGGAAGATCTCTTCCCCCCCCCCCCATATTGTGCTGGCATCAGGGAACTGCTTCCAGCATAAAGGAGAGGGAAAGTTCCATGAACCCATCCCGGTTCATGGTGTGGTTTGTGGGACCTCACGAACTGGGACAATCTCCATTATCCCAGTTCGTGCCCATCCCTATTTATAATCTACAAAGGCTGCATGAAGTACCCCATGGGACCTAGCACTACATTTCTCTGCCAGATATTTTAAGGCATTGATCTGTAGTGGAGTGGCCAGTCCTAAAGCCCACTTGAGGTTTATAAGATTATGCATGGGATAGAGCAGGTAGAGGAAGAAGTAACTTTTCTCCCTTTCTCACAATACAAGAACTCGTGGGCACTCAATGATATTGCTGAGCAGTCGGGTTAGAGCGGATAAAAGGAAGTACTTCTTCACCCAAAGAGTGATTAACACATGGAATTCACTGCCACAGGAGGTGGCGGTGGCTACAAGCATGGATGGCTTCAAGAGAGAATTAGATAAGCATATGGAGCAGAAGTCCATCAGTGGCCATTAGCCACAAGGTATAGATAGGAACTATCAGTCTGGGGCAAGTGATGCTCTGTATTCTTGGTGCTTTGGGGGGGGAGCAACAGTGGGAGGAAGCTTCTAATGTCCTGGCCCCACTGGTGGATCTCCTAATGGCACCTGGTGTTTCTGGCCACTGTGTGACAGGGTGTTGGACTGGATGGGCCATTGGCCTGATCCAACTTTGGCTTCTCTTATGTTCTTGTTCCTTGTAAAGAATGTTCTCTTGGTTGAGACAGTCCCAGAACTTCCAGCCTAGCATGAAGCTCGTTCACTACACTGAGCAGGCTAATTAGGCAGAAAGCTTAGATTCGTCTCCTGTCTTGTATATTGTGATAATGATGGTCAAACCCCAGTTGCTAGAGTTCTGTGCTGTCTGGTCAATGAAAGTAAAAAGTTTGGCGAGTACCGGTGCCCACCATTCAGTGGGATCATAAAACTGGGCCCTTCCCTAGCTTGAACAGGGCTATTAGCCTCTTAAAATCTGTTATCGTGACTGGGGGGGGGCGGCATAGGAGCAGATTTCTTGAGTCAGTACCTGATTAAACATCTTGATTTGGCTGTGAAGCATAGAGCGCACAAAAATGAGTCTCCCAAGAATTGGCAGGGGCAGCACAAGACAACCTAGAGGCTTCTGTCTGAAATCCACCCAAAGCAGTGTGCCAGATCAGTGCAGAGTCACTGGATCTAGCAGCTGGGGTTAATTGAGTCTAGACCGACTCAGAACTTTAGATGAACAGCCTTCTGAGCAAAAATCCTTTCCCCTTCTCAGAACTCTCCTACCAAAACATAAAAGCTCATTTCTCTCAGCCTTTTCAGTTTGTCAGATGTGTAAATCTAATAAAGATTAGCACAGCTGTATTTTACAATGTATAACCATCAACCCTAAATAAATCATCTTGGGGGGAAATGTGCTAACATTATCCTCGGAGTTCTTTTTTGGAAGATCGGAATAGAAATCACAAGGGACTTGTAGCTGTTGCTGACCAGCGTCTCTCCCACACACGTGCTTGCCAGCCTTTGTGAAAGGAAATGTGGGGCCGGATCCCATCACATTCTGCATTTCCCCACCTTATGCCTACAAACGGCCATTAAACCGTGTAGGGAACAATGCCATGGATTTCTTTTCTTAGACTGAAAAACACATGAGAAAAACACCCACTCCCAATGCCCATGATGTGGCCCTAAGAAACAGCGGAAATAAATGTCTTCCAGGACAACCTAGATCTGGCCTTGTCCCTGAGGGATCCTTCCCTTCGTACTAATCCCTCTCAAAATAACTTGCTGTGAAAAATAAAGAGGAGGGAAAACACACTGATCAAGTATTGGTGCAAAATATGCCTCACATCTCTGTGACACGTGAGTATGAGCAGTTTTATCCTGACATGCTACAATACATGAGTCTGGTTTATCTTTTCAAGGCAATGCTGATTTTGCTCGGAACTCCTATTACAGAGGATCTCTGACGCAGCGCAACCCCAATGGGAAAAATAGGAAAGCCGATCGCATCTTTGCGGCAAGTATTCCAAACCTGGCCTGTCATTTTCCTGTACGTGCAGAATGTGGTGGCCGACTTGGAGACAGGAATATTATCTGTGGCACCAAAGAATCCAGATATTAGGAGTTTATTAGAGCAGTTCACACACATACATATGCACACATACACAAACAAACAGTGGTTAGTGAAACTGAGTAGACGGAACTGTCTTTGTCTGTCTGTTTGTTTATTCCACAAAGCAAGATGCTTACAGACATACCACCCAGGTTCCCACCTCAGTTTCTTCTCCAAAGACCTGTCAGCTTTCTCTGAAGGTGGAAGGGGAGGACGGTAGCAAAAGCGGGTGGGACAACGAACTGTGACAAATCATGTCAAATGAGGCACCTTCAAACCTGACAGGAAAATGGCATTCTGCTAGCTCACCCAAGGAAAGTTGTGCTGCTGTTGCACTGAGCGTTAGGGGTGTGTGCTCGGTATATACCAAGCTGAATAAATACCCAAATAATAACTTGTTAGTATTTTGGGGGTATTTATTCAGCTGAATCAGATTTTCTAATCTGATTCAGCTACTGATCTAACTGAGCCCCCCAAAAAGCCAATATTATTCGGCTTTTATTCAGGCTCAGCCAAAGCGGTGTGAGTTCACCCACCATCTGGGTGAACTTGCGCCGTTCCGGGTTCCTCGGGCACAGCTTGGCTTTGCAAGGGCTATGTAAAGGGAAAGTTCCCTTTAAATGGTTTTCGCAATGCCAAGCCACGTGTGCCTTCCTTTCCCTCCTCAAGTCGCGCTGCAGCAGGGGCACGCATTAGCAAGTGAAGGGAGTTTAAACTTTAAATACCTTCCTTTCCCTTGCTAAGGTGACCTGCTGCTGTGGCATGACTCAGTGAGGGAAAGAAAGGTATTTAAAGAGACCACAGTCTCTTTAGATGCATCCTGTTCCATCACTGAGGCATGAAGTGGCTGTGGCATGACTCGGGGAGGGAAGATATGGAGCCTAATTCTGTGGCAATACTGATGATTTCCTGAATCCCAATATCATGCCGATAATATTGGGATTCAGTAATATCGGTTTGTACCGATATTTTTCGGGTTTGGTATACCTGAACCCGAAAAATACCCAATTTTTTTGGGTGTGCGCTCCAGCTGGGCATTCTAAACATCACCATGAAAATGGGAATACACCAGTTTGGGAGACATCATCTGGGTTTGTGAGAAAATGGTGCCAATACAGGAAGAGGGAAGAAGAGGCATCCCAGATATTACATATCCAGCAATAATGATCCAGAGGCCAAGATTATTATTTACAGAGAGCCAGAAGTCAGTGAGGGATTATTTATTTAGTTAGTTAGTTACATTATTTATAGTCTGCCTTTCTCACTTGGACTCAAGGCGGATTACGTAGAGTGATTCAATACATTCAATGAACAATGCAAAAGGAATTAGGAATTGCAATAGGATAAGAGTTGTAGAACCAACCAGAAGTCTAAAAACAGAACTGAAGCAAAGCACAGGTATTACGATGACACATTAAATGATGCAACATTCTAAAGCAGGATCCTAGTTTTGCCAAGCTATACACAGTAATATAGGCCACAATCCCTAATAATTTTTCCAAGTAACTTTGTGAATTATTTAGTACAGTGCAATTCTGTTATTAGGTATGCCCTCGTAACTGATGAATTATGCCCTCGTAAACAGTTATGCCTTTCTACGCCCATTGAAGTCAGTGAGATTAGAAGGGTATAATTCTTCTAGGATTGCACTGTTGTTCTGTCAGATGAATTAGCTGTACGTATTTTTGCTTGTTGGTTTCAAATGACTCACATCAGTGTTTTCTTGCTTCCACAGAAGCCTGTGATGACCCATCGATCATGAAAGCCAGGAGGCCTGTCTAAACCAGCAAGAGACCTTCAAGGCTTAGCTCTTAAAGTTTCCACCTCTTCCCTTTCTTGCTTCCACCTGTATCTCGAAACAGAGGAAAGAAGCACATTAGCTCTGAAAGAAATTTCTAAAGTAGCATCTTCATGAAATTAGTGTCCTAAATTGTCTACAAAGCACCATAACTCTCTTCAATGTAAAGAATTTTCCCCTGTCTCAGGATTACTGATCCACTCATGCTACGAAGCACCATAACTCTCTTCAATGTAAAGATCCCCCCGTCTCAGGATTACTGATCCACTCATGCTACATGGGACTAGTGTGTAAACTGCATTTCCTTTCATAAATTATCTGTCTGTAGTCTGGATATCTGGGCAAGTCCCTCTTCAGTCACCTTGCCTAGGTCAAGGCCTGTGTTTTGCTTTGTGACCCAATAAGTCATGTGGCACTTTTCTGGACTTCGAACAGCCTTGGATTTAATTCATCAGATCTCGGAAGCTAAGCAGGGTCAGCCCTAGCTAGTATTTGGATGGGTGACCAGGGGCGTGATGCAGAGGCAAGCAACGGCAAACCACCTCTGAAAGTCTCTTGCCTTAAAAGCAAGTGGTGAAACTAGTGGTGCATAATGCTAAAGAGCTAGGACTTCTGGCTGCCAGACAGTCTTAGGATCTCCTGGCTATACAACACACACTGCCATACGATAATTATTATTATTATCCATCAGATGTGTTTGGTACCTAGTCTTACGGGGAGAGAGATGTACAAATTCCCCCACACATCAGAAGGAGCACTGGAGAGTGAAGCCCATGTCTCTAGATTTACTTCTCTGTTACTCCACACCTTTTCCCTTAGAAAACATTGACTCTCCAGGGGTACAAACCCAGGTTCTCTGCTTTAGCGTTCAGCTGCTTCCATTAGCTTTCTGCCAGTAACAAGCCCCATCTTAGAAAGCGTCTCCCAGTTGCAGAGGTGACATCGCAGTACCCTGAAATATTAAATGCCTCTACAGTATCTCTTATTGCTTTCTTATCTATCTTCCAGTGTCCTCAGATCCCCCTCCATTGTTGTAAATTGGTTTTGTTGATGCCATATAAAGATGAAACTGCACCTTATGTGTATCCCTCAGACTCCTTCCCCACAGGACTAGCTCAGATTGGCTTCAGGATAAGCAGAAGAATAATAGAATCATAGGCTGATTTCGCACTAGAGCTGCCTCGATGTTGCGCCGCCGTTTGCCCCGATACTATCGGTCAATTTCACACCCGAAGCTGCGGGGCTGCATTTGACCCGCGGCTTCGCCCGATTTCCTCCACAGTTTCGTGATCCTCAAAAAACAGGATCAAGAAACTGCGGGGGAAATCGGGCGAAGATGTGAGTCAAAATGCAGCCCCGCAGCTTCGGGTGTCAAATTGACCAATAGCATCGGGGACAATGGTGGTGCAATATCGAGGCAGCTCTAGTGCAAAATCAGCCATAGAGTTGGAAGGGACGTCCAGAGTCATCTAGTCCAACCCCCTGCACAATGCAGGAAATTCACAAATACCTCCCCCCCACACCCCCAGTGACCGCTGTTCCACACCCAGTAGATGGCAGAAAACCTCCAGGATCTCCAGCCAAACTGACCTGGAGAAAAATTGCTTCCTGGCTAGGAGGAGGGTGCCGTTTTGAGAGGACAAAGAACTGGGAAGGAAAGGCTGAAATATATCCTCCTCCTCCTCTTCCCTTTCTCCCCCCTCCTCAGTTGGCCTGAAGCTAAAGTCAGGCTTTGAGGAGGAGAATCATGGGATTACATACAGCATGCAGCTGCACTTTAAAACATAGCACGTTTATCACCCAGTTTATCTTTGGCATCAGCTTTTAACCTTATATATATATATATATGTACATGTATCATATATACTAAATAAAAGTTGGCATTACGCTCAGGCAATGCATCAGCTCTCGTCCTTTTTGAATCGTGCGAAGTCTGCATCAGATGGGGGTGCCGGGATTTATGTAAAATATTGTTCTTTCCTTCAGCTGCAAGCCGGTGGGACACGGGGGTGTTTCCCAGTGTGTTAATTAATCCCAGCGCAGAACTGATAAAAGTTTTCAGACCAGGGTAATAGTAAGTCATTCCTAGCGTTTTAATTGGTGAACTACTTAAAATGGGAGAATGCAAGTTTATCATGCAAATAGTTAAAAGAATCCCAGAAAACAGTGCGCTGGCCTACGCCACATACTTTATGGATTCATGGATTTAAAGGGTTTATAGACTACTTTTCTAATTTTGGGAAAAGTCTTTGAAGAGGTCACGCATGAACAAACGATTCCAAAATCCATTTATAACAAAAAATAACGGCATGAAACAATGATTAAAATCCATAATTCACAGCAACAAAAACATTTTTCTTTTTTTTAAACGGTACTATAGAACCCACACCAGCCATGGAGATTTTTTTTTTAAGTCTTAACATGGCACAGGAAGTGCCCGTGATGCCTAGGGATGCCATGTTCCTTCTGATGGCAAGAGATCTCCTGCCCCCATGCCATTGCCTGCCACCAGTAAGCTGGATGGCAGGGAGAGAATGGCTAATAAAAAGAGGGAGCACGATCAGCATCCCCACTGTGGTGACACAGCTTCCAGTGCAACCCGGAAGTGATGTCCTCACATCAGGTGGCACTCTAGCATTCACCCAGAGTTCTATGGTTAAATCATAGAATCCTGGGCAAATGCTACTGCATCACCCCCAGCATAAGGACATCACTCCCAGATTGCACGGACAGGATGTAATTGCACCAGGAACAAGCCATGGCCACGCTAGTGGTGCCACCACTGAAAAGGCTGAGCACTCACCACCCATTCCCCCCAATCCAGGCCTCTAGCCAGGATCTTTTTATTCGGGGGACACATAAAATTTTAAGAGGGCAGTTAAATTACGGTTAGTTAAATGAATGTGAATGCCTGTGTCTTTAAAGGGGGAGGCTCCAAGCCTGTTTCTAGCCCTTCCTTTCAAGGGACAGGGCAGCAAGCGCATCCATTCTTAGCAGGAAAGCAGCCCTAGGATAAAAACAGTTTATTTGCATGTTTCCCAAAGGCTCATGGGAGTGCTTTTGAAAGACTCACCGTGACCTAGGTGGTATACAGCAGGACTGGGTTAGCAGAAAGGGGGCTTGTTGGAGATGTGTTGAA